CGCTGTCAGCTCTCTTCCCTGCTTGCGCTTGCAGCGTCATGACCTCAGACGCCATGTTTAGGCGCCCCCACGAGGGAAGATCGCGATAAAAACTTTCTGGTCAGAGTAGAAAGTTTGAAATCGCGATCTTTTGCCTAAATCAGGATCTTTTGTGCGGTGTTTGGAGGCGCCATGTTTGCCCCAAGATTGCGATTTACAGATTCCACTTTGATTCTGAAGATCGCTGTCCTGTTTGGAAACACAATTTTTCGAATAATCACGATAAGCCAATAATCGCGATTTGAGGCCTTAAATCGTGATTTATTTTTGGATCCAAACACCGCCTTAATAATTGACGAAATCAGAAGCGTTTCCGAAACGTACTCGGTCTTGAAGTTTTCCGTTGCCGACGCCAGTGGTTGCCGTAACACCCATCGACGCATGTTGACTCCGCTGCGGGTGTCACTTCAGCTTTTCCTTAGTCTCTCGCAGACTGAGCTTTCTTCTCGTCAAGCGAGACTGTAATAACCTCTACGCTAAAATGTCGGCGTCCCCACTCAACGACTCCACTCTACCGTCGCGCAGCTCCAACAGTGGCGGCGACACTGTAATTGCGCAGTATCTAGCAACCAAAGTGAGCTGGTGGGCCACGTACCCACGAATCCTCGTGGTCACGGCCTCCACGCTCAGCACGTACAATCCTGAGACGTCCCAGTGCACCAACCAATGGGAAATTGCCGACATCGAGGATGTGGAGCAGTCTCCAACCAAGAACCACTTCGTACTCAGACTCGAGAAGTCGCTCTTCCGCACAGCTAAGCTAAAGTTCGTCTGCGCTGCACGAGGCCACCTGCTGTCGCTATTGGCTCGCCTGCGTCGTCAAGCTCAAGGGAAGGCACTTCTGTATCGACTTGTGAATGCTCGTAGACTCCATTTTCGCTGCGTTGAGAAATACGCCGATGGGTCGCACAAGCTGCTGTTCGTACAGGTGACAGTATCCAGCATCATCTTCCTGGATGAATGCGGTCGTCGCGTGCACATTTTGCCATTCCTGTATCTACACATGGCAGCATTCTCAACGGAGCATCCCGAAGGTATGGTGCTGTCCACGGTTTTCCATGATCGGTTCTTCCTTTGTCCTGAGAGACACGAGTGTCTGAATGAGATCGTGGCTGCGGCAAATGATGCGGGGGTGGAGCTGTACAAGACGTCGACGCAAATCACGGCGCTTCAACTTCGGCTCCACAATACGCAGGTGCTGGATCGTGCGTCAGTCATCCGATTCGACGTCAAGAAGGCCAGGAATATCGAGAATAACGGTGATGCAGCGCCTGAAAGCGATGGTAGTGACGGCGGCGAGAAGGCGTATAAAGAGATTCAACTCATTCTGCAAGGGGATGCGATCGTGGAGATGCATCGCTCCATGTGCACTGTCATCGCGCGGCCGTACAGCGCCCTGCTGGCGATTGTCCGCCCAGATTGGGACCCACGAACGCTCGTGCTGGAGTTCAAGCAGGAAGACACACTGGTTCTTGATCTAGATGGTCGTGATCACCTTGTTACCTTGTTATTACTCGTGTGTCGTGAAGCAGGACGGCAGAATGTCGTCCTTATCTCGTCGGGGCTCAACTATTGTCGATTCTACCATCCCCATACTGCTGATACCGCCAGTACTGACAGCAGCATTGCTGGTATGTCGATGACAGTGTTCTTGCTGAGACGAATTACGCAAACAAGCGTTCGCTCCGAAGATAACAACTGTGGGAGAAGCCGAGGTAGTAGTATTTGGTCCCCTCGCAGGCGGCGCAGCGGGAGTGCATCGACACCAAGAGCTTCCCATGACTCAGCTGGACCCGACTCTAGTGGGCGTGGATGGTTCCAGCGGCGAATCAAGGACAAGCGCACAGCAGAGCCTATATACGAAATGCGCAACTCCATCGACTCAGGTCTGTCCATGAACGAGGGTGTGGGCATTGTCATTGCAATGGAGGAACTTAATGCCAATCTTCCACTTGACGAACTCACGCGAAGTGGACCAGAGCAAGCTGATCTCGTTAACAAGGCCATGAAACTTGTGTTCGAACATCTCGTAACGCTAGTAGCGACGCTGAGACGATACTGGGACACAACTAGTTCGGAACTAGTCACCACTCTACAAGCTCTTGTGCGCTTGTATTATCATCCGGCTGCATGCTTCACAGATGACTTGGTGCGTCCTACGCTTGCTTCCTTGTAGTTTCTGAACTGATGGTCATGTTGTTTGCTTTTTTAGATTTTTCAAGTGTTTGACACTGTGCACGAGCTCATTCTACAGCAAGACATCCTTACTTGCTACTGGTGCCTCAGGCTGCTGCAATGCTTCCTGGGTGCTCGAACTCCAAACACTGATCCAGGTTCCAATGCAGCTGGAGACCAGCGGGCTAAGACGGTTCAGCATTTTATTCACCACGAGACACTTCAGCATGCCATTGTCGATCTCATCCCTGCCTCATTTGCCGCGTCAAATGACTCATCGTTAATGGCAACCTCGTCCAGTGTCGGAACAGCGTTCTGGAAGGTAGATCCAGAAGTTGCGCGTGACCCACCAACAAGCCTCTCGTCGAATCAGTCCTCTGTTTTGTTTGCAAAGGAGGCTCGAGTCCAGAACGAGATCAATGTGGTATTCTACGAAACGTTGCTCACACTGCATCACTTGTCATTGTGCCTACGAAGCGCAGCGAAAGAGCAAAGAGCAGCACGAAATCGTCAGAATTACATTGCGGCGATTAACCAACAAATGCACGAAGAGCACAATGTCCCAGCCGAGAAGCAGACGGACGTTCTTGCAGGTAAGCTACTGGAAAAGTACCGGTTCCTGATAGATTCTGTTATCGACGTCCGCCTTGTACGCATGGTCGAGACATCGGTGGCGCTTGTGAAGTTTGTACTGAGCCACTTTGCGACCAAAGCCACAGCGAATCAGCTTCAACGAACACCAAGCGACAACCAGCTCTCTCATACTAGTGACGGGGATTTAAATAAGTGGCTGGATGCCCTTGGTTCATTCCTTGATGACTATCAAATGATAGCTGAGGGCAGGATGGAAACTCCGTCGCTGTTGTTTGGTAGCGAGAGAACGATTGAGATGCCAGTGGAGCCTTTTAGCAATGGAACTAGCGAGTCCACAAACGCAGCAATGAACAGGCTGCTCAACCCAGGCACTACGAATCGTCTCGGAACGATTATGTCGAAGGGATCCATGAGACTTGAGTATCTTGATCCAAGCGAGCCACCGACTTCAATTCGTGGTGATGACTTCATAGTGTCCTTGGAGTTAGAATCCTCCACGAAAAATGGCGGCAGGAACCCATCGAAGCAGCAAACCAAGCACGATACTTACGACAGCCTTGCTTCAGGCAATAACAGCCAGATGCATCAACTATCTCAGCCGGAGACAAGCCCCATAAGGTCTATCTGTAGTGCTGTCGAAGCGAATCCTTTCAAAGACGACAATGAAGATGACACGGCCGGTCTATTAAGGAACAGTGATCACGTATCCACAGCTGCTCGATCTCCGCGGGCCACACGCAAACCCTTCCAGGCGTCAGTTGGAGCACGACGGACAGCAAATGAGTGCGATGCATGTATTGGATGCAACGATGTGTGCGCGAATGAGCGTTGCTTCTTCTGCGCCGAGAAAGAATACCAACTTATAGTTGCCTTCGCTGGGTCTTCAAAGTCGACTCGGCCAACAATGCGTCAAACAGCATGGCACCATCGCGCGCCGTCATCAGCCGACAGCTCTTCCAATATTGAACGAGAGTTTTCATCGTGCGAGATGAAGCGGCACCAAAGCCAGCACTCGTGCTGGATCCGCGTCGGCGACAGTGTCTTCGACGTGACGGAATTGCTCAGTGTACATCCTGGCGGGGCACAAGTACTTCAGGAAGCTTCCCAGCACGGAGGAGATTGCAATTCGATCCTGAAAACTCATCCACCTACAGCACGGGAAATGATGATGCAGTATCGTCTAGGACGATACTACGAGTGCAGCAAGTAGGGATCGCAGGGTAAATATAATAATATTGCAATTCAATAAATTATTGGGTCTTACAATAAAATATTCAGTATTGGACCGACCTCGTGTACAATTTATTGAGCTAATGTAGAAGCTATTTTTTAAAAAAAAAATGATCCAGTTATTTACAACAAACAGCGAACACGAAAAATATATTTATATTTTTGCCATAAATAATTTATTTCGGTGTGGCACACTTAACATCAGACGTACTTCTCTGGCCCGCTTCAAAATGACGTTTTCATATATTTACCGATAACTTTGAAGCCTGACCTCGGCAGAAAGCGGTAAGCACACCATTCAAAAGCCCCCGGTTTAGCGCACCTGAGCATATTTTTTTTGTTGCACTAGCAACAGGTACGGATGAGCACCATGCGCTCAAACTCTCCGCAGTTTGAATCCCATGATGTTTTTTTACGCAGTTCAGCCAATATTTAGCGATATTACACCTAATTTTAAGGACGATTAAATTAGACGATTAGCTTCTAAAGGATGTACCCGTACACGCAGAAACGAATTAGAAGCTCTTAAAGTTTGAACGCAAAGAGGGCGAGGTTTATTTCCAAAATCCGGGGCATAACGGTGAGCCACCAATTAAAATTAACCAATCAGAAGATAGATAAGAATTAACCTAATATTTATGCTTTCCAAAACATGAAATTAGCTATTGAACTTAATTATGAATTGAAAAGCTGGCTGTACCCTTATTTCCTTGACACTATTGCGGTATTCAAGCACTTTACTACACAACATCGGACGTTGCCCTGGTAGAAATACGACGTAGTAAGTACCAATTCGTCAAACTCTTTAGCTCTCATTCTTCGAAGTATATAGATCTTAGTCGTTACAATATTTCGTTCTTGCGAGATTTTAAATCTGTAGAGATTAGACTTTCGAAGTAGTAACTTGGTTCTGGACGACGAAGTCATACCACAGGAACGTAACAAGACTCAAGCTATACAGCAGCCAACAGCTCTGCGACAGTTTCAGGTTAAGACCTGACATTTTGTAATTGTATCGTTATATTGGGCATCGCGATTACAGAAAGCCAAATAAGCCTTCGCAGTTCGCACGACATCAGAGATTGTTATTGCGAGATTAAATTATTTAGAGTTACCTAGTTTAAGCTACATAAGGCAATATCGTGCAGTCGCAGTAGGAGTACGCCCTTAACAACGCGGCATACGTGTAAGGATAAGTATTGTAAAGTTCAACTGATTCTCTCGGATTTTGCTCAGGGGTTCTTTTTAAATATTTGTTGCCAGGGAACCCGAAAATATCATTTATACCTATTTTTGACGTGCGCCAATAAATAGCGTGAGGAAAAGCTCCGCTAGTAGAAATAAATAACTGAAGTTTGAACATAACACTAATACATTATCAGTGCAATTATTGTGCATGTTCACCACATCCTACCTAGATGCAACCGTCGACGGTAGTAACGTCCCAGTACTTATGATTGACCTTGAGAAACAAGATCATCTCGAGTGTCAGCGGAGGCGGTTGCGCTCGTAGCGTAATACCATCCGGGCCGTGCTAAACAAACGCTCGACGATGTTTGATGTCGGTGGGATTGCACCGAGCAAGACGTATGCGCTTGGTGCATCGTTCGCCTTGCGCCGTTTTAAAATTCGATCAGCGAAACCGACTTTAGTCGGTTCCTCCTGATGAACCGAAGAGGAGCACGGCGGAGAAATGGTTGCAGCGATGACCTCTCTGCACGAGTCAGCTTTTTAACTTGCGATCCCAGCACTTTCACGACACCCGACTCAAAGTCCGGTGAATGCACAATTTCAGCATTTGGTGCTGCAAACATGGACACAAAATATAAATAAATAAAAAACTAAAAATCAATTTTCCATCTTGTTGTAGACGTACCGAGATAGTCGTCAAATGATGGCATGACCTCCAACAGACCGTTGAGCAGGTCTCGCGCGTCCAGCAAATTTAAATCTTCACACTGCAACTTTATGGCGACGGACTGAGCATCGGACAGCTTGACGAGAAGTGTCTTGAGCTTGCGGTTCGCCGCCGGCGATGGCATCTCCTCGGCCAGCTCTTCGTCGTCCGCGCTGATATACTCGCGGAGCTCGAAGTAGCGAGCCAGCATCGTGTACGTTGATCCCCACCGTGTGTTCTGACGTAGTTTTGGCCGGAGAGGGGTCTTCAGTCTGTAATACAAGAAAGAAGCGTTAAAAATCTAATAAATATAATTAATATTTGTATACAAAAGGATGGATATATATAATTTACATACCTCAATTTAGCAGCTTGGGTGATTGTCCGCAGGCGCTTCATGAGGGACTGGACCTGCTCCAGCTCCTTCTCGTAGGGCTCCAGAAAACGCCGGACAGCCAAATTGAGGCGATGACTGGCGCAGCCGACAAGCGGTACGCCCATCAACCTGGCTAGCCGTCTGTTTACTGCACAATTATCCCCTACCAAAAATATGACATTAGAGAGGTCCTTACCGAAAAACGGTAGAAACGACGCCAAAGCAGAGATGTGGCTTTCGGCGTTGAGCCGGTCATCCGGCCCGTTGATAATTGAAGCCATAGAGAGCAGGGGGCAGTGGCGAACCCCGTCCTTGTCGTAGCACGCGTGCACTGCAAGGTAGTGTTCGCTGCCGTGAGTCCATCCGTCCAGAATTGCCCCAAACCGCTCCGGGAGCTCGCCGCCGATGCTCCGCTCGACCGCTTTTGTGACGCTCTCCATGTCGCGTGTTATGGTCTCTTCACACACGGTCGCCAAATTGGTGTACCTTACATAGAAATAATTATTTAGAAAATAATTAATTGGAATCAGTAAGAACGGTACAGTACCCTCGCTAATTACGTACCGCCTTGTAGACTCCATCTCCACGAAGGAGAGAGGGATGTTTCCTTTGACGATCCACTCGAGCCATGTGTGCCGATTAGATGCCTTTTGACGCACCCAAGGAAGTAGCATCCCCGTGGCAGCGGTGCTGGCGGCCTCCATCTCGACCTCAAAGTTACCGTGGTCGGACTTAACGTGGGACACCAGATTGGTGTACCCAGTTTTGGGTGCATGCTTCCGTGTCTTGCCACAGGCCTTGCAGACTTGCAGGCCAGTGGGGTCCCCGTCCTCGGTAAGATCTTAAAGTAGAAGCAGGCGATCTGCTTCGGCGTGAACTTACTCTTCGAGCGTGGCGTGGCGACAAGGGCATCAGACATGACGGTTGCGGTTAAGGTAGATTGGTAAATTTGCAAATTGCAGAATGAACATGAAAACGAGCTACAGAGCTACTAGAATCCTCAGAACCAACCACCCAATCATTGGTTCCAGTTGCCTGAGCAAAATAAATAGTGTGTCGCCGTACACAAAATTCGGAAATACGTATCCGGCATGTGCTAGAATATATTGGGAATAAAACATAAATGGTGACAATATTAATTGTTGCTTTACACAAAATTGAAATCTTTATAATTGCCAAACACGGACAACATTTTTTTAATGTATTGGCGGGCCTGGTGTCATGACGAGCTGACACGTGCATTTCTTGATAACTTGGCCACGCAGTGAATAACATTCCAGTATTCTGGCTTAGCTCGAAACGCTCATCACTTGTTGGTCTTGAGCTTCTGCAGTGAACGTTGCGTTGTCTTCGCCATGATCGACGTCAATTGGGTAGCAATTACTTCAAGCGTTTCCACATGTCCAGCACATTGCTGTGGGTACTTCGAAATAAGAGTAAAGATGACAGTGGCAAATTTCAGCGATCCTCGAACTTGTTCAGCCTCCGGACGCTCCAAAACGGCCTCGCAAGCTCCAACAAGCCTTTCAATTGTCAGCGCCGACAGCACTGGCTTGCTATTGAGAATGTTCTGGAACACCAATAAGGCTGACTCCTTTGAGAGTAAATGCGGACGATTTGTTTCGTTCGCGGTCGCTGCTTCCAGGCTTCTTTGGAGAAATCCATCAAGCTGATCTGCTAGTACTGTATCAGAGCTGCGAAGAATTCGCGTTATTGCTTCCGCTTGCGGTGGACCAACAGATTTGTTGGAACCATCGTGTTCGCCACTAACCAACAGAGGGAGTAGCAGCGAGTCAACAAGCATACCAGAATAACTAGAGCCAAAGCGAAGTGCCGCCTGGAGCAACACGCGAGAAATGACCGAGTCAGCAGCACGGATCTTGGGCAGCACACTGGTTTCAAGGAAGATAGCTGCGTATCGTGAACTCCAGTTCGAGTCGACCAGCGAACTGTTTATACAAGACAACGAATATAAGCAGAGTAAGCACACGATAACCCAGGTACTTTGGAATGGATTCGTACTTGGTGATCTGAAGGAGAGCTTCATCGCTGGTAGAGTCCATACACAGCACCTTACACAGATACTGGAAGCTGCGTTCGTTAGCTGCATATGTAGTATGGACATCGTTAACCACTTCAGCAAGCATATCAAAAGCACGTGTTGCGACATCATCCACCGCCGCTGTCGCTTCAGAACGTGAAAGTTGTACAAGCTGCTTGGCCAGTCCAGACGCGCGATCCTCCATCTAACACAAAACACAAGAGGTATGTATCAAATACGCACAAAACCCGCCTTGACTGCAGGTAGCCGTCATACGAACCTCTTTTGTTAGTGTCGGTCGTTCCGGTGCCGTGAGCGCATGTTCTGAAAATGGTGAATCATTCCTTACACTCTGCTCAATCATGTGATCTTCTGGATCCTCACCTCGTGGCCGCTTATTCATCCGAGAAGAGTTCGTTTCAGCAATTTGCAGCACTTCATCACGACCACTTGACGGCAACGACCTGAACACTCTTTCGTCCTCGTCTTCTAATGACGGAAACTCCACGCGATTCAACGTCAAGCGCCGCATACGACGTCGGAATGCAGCGTTTGTCGTCGTGTACTCACTCTCATCTTCATCTACATTTTCTGGTTTTCCTCTCAGCACCATCTTTGCCAGCGACAGACACACAGCGTCAGCCTCGCGACGTCGTTGTCTCATTGCGACCCTAAGGAAAGACCGTGCCAGTTCCACAGAGACGTCGGCGCTCGGAGACGCATCACTCGCCAACACGCTCCAGATCTCGCGTTGCACTCTCAGATGTAGTTGCTCCATGCGGATGCCACAGTCTGCAGCCGCTTCATCCTCGGCGCCTTCTCCATCGCCTTCTGTGTCGATCAGAAGGACGGGCGCGCTGAGCTCCTGCAGAACGTCGGGGACTGTTTGGCGATGCTCTACGCACGCCAACGCACTAATGTGTCAAGGTATTAAATTCAACAGCAGGGCCCTATAGCGTACCTTGCAAATACTCCCGTACGCCAGAGGCACCTTTAGATTGTGCCGCGAAAGCCACGAACTGGACTTGCTCCATTTTTTGCGGGAAAAATTGGCGGTAGATTTGAAACGGTCAAAACAGATGTTTGAATTTGGCGAGTTCTATTCCAACTTTTAGAATGTCCATCTAAATGTCCACATGCAACTACTGTATCTACCTACTCTTCCGTCCGACGAAGGCCGTCAAACAGCGACGGGAAGCCTGCGCTGTGCTTGGAGGTAAAGCGGATGTTCGGCCGAATCGACAGCTCCGCATTGTTGTTCTTTGGAATCTCGCTAGCTGATGCAGGCAATGCATTCGAAGACTCTGATGTTAACGTACCTGGCACAGTTGAAGCCTTACTGCTATCATTTTGTTCTGACGCGACGGCAGTAATCGTTTTACGGGGAAGCTCATGCCGCAGTGGACATGCTTCTCCCTTAGGGCAGTATCCCTTCGTGAACGGCTCGCAGAGCTTCGCCGTCGCGCTCACTTTTACGTGGCGATATCTGCAGCCTTCTCGAGTGCACGCTCCGCGTAGAAACATTTTGCAGTCCGGGACTTTATTCTGCACATTCAAATACAGTAAATATACACCACAAAAAGTTATGTACACCATCAACTGTCAGCACAAGTGACCGCATGCCTCTTGCCGAAACGCGCCGAAGCTACAGCGCGAGCCAGCAAAGCACAAGTCAGTTGGTCTCTCCACCTCATCATGTTGGTGCGACAGCAAGCACTTGGGGTCGTTGCACTCGTTTTTCAGGAACTTTCGGCACATCGCCACTCGCCGACTGTCGTGAATAAACCTGCATTCCTCCTTGTTCTTGCAGTAGCCTATTCTTCAGCAAATCAAGCGCACAATTAGCAGTAGCATTCGTTGAGGCACAGCAACACTTCACAGCATTATAGCAGAGAAAGCAGATACTTGCCGAAGCGGTTGTAAAAGGAGCAGTACTCCGTGCGAACTTTGACGTTCTTCTTGGTGTGCAAGTGCCTTCTCCGGGCACGCCGCATAATCGCTTTTGCTCGGGTGAGGCTGGCATACAAAAACAAGTGCAATAGGTCAGCACGAACATACCACAACATGACGTATGCGACACCAGCAAAAACTCACGCGGCGCGAGCAGCCGCGCTCTTGCTGGTTATGCTCATCGACCCTCGCCTGTGAGCGACGTTCGCCTTGTGATCCTCCGAAGAGCAACGCTTTAAGACCTTGCCTCCGTTTGCAACGACATATTTCACCCCTCCAATATGAACGGAATCTAGCCAAACACACAACACAACGGTAAGCTGAGCTCGAGAGCAACAGCACAATACGAGAACACCAGGTCGGTCCTACTGCTATTCGAGCGGATCACCGGCATAGGCTTTGCAGTAGCAATGGCTTGTGGCGTATTGGTCAGGGGCGACGGCTTCTTCACTCCCGCACGTACGAGACTGAAGCCGCCGCTCGCCTTAGCGTACTCGCCATCTTCCAATCGCAGCACCTGCATTTGCATACTCTTGCTCTTGTTGGCAGCAACTTTCAACTGCGCCAGCACCAGTCAGCTTAGTTGCTATCATTCGCTCCAACTTTCCACTTACCGGTTTCTTCCACGCCTTAGTGATCGACGCAGGTGACGGTGTCGTAGTAGACGTATCCTCTCGCCTCCACACCTTATTAGTACTCACGCTCCCCACGTGACTCTTATTAACGACCGCATCAGGCGGCGAAAAGCGATTCCACGAGCGATTCACTGGTCCGGAAGCAGCGTACTTTCTCGACTGGTAGTGGCCGTAATTGGGCCGCGGATAGCTGTAGCTTGCAGTTGTGGGTGCTTTGCCACCTTCACTCTGTCGTTTAGCCTCCAGCAGATTCTTCATGGCCTGAATCTTGGCGCGCAACGTCACCTCCTCCATCGCTGTTCCGGGTAGCGTTCTGATTCTCAACTGACGAGTTTGGAATTATTGTCGGTATACTTTATTCAAGTCAGTTCATAATTTTGCTTAAGTACGAAATTGGTTTTCCTCAAAAGGTACACTTGACGACGATACAGTAATGGACCGGACTAGTGACTTCGTGGGTATCACGGTGCTCTTCGAGACTCGCCAAACGCGGCCCCATACGCATCGGCCGCTGTCTCGCGATGCGCGTCTTGCGCAGCAGATCTCGGACCAGCTGCGACAGCAAGAGCTATGTCTGCGTGAGCTACAGGAGCTCGTAGGCAAGAAGTCCATCATCGGCGACGACCCAAGCGCGCAGATCGCGACGCTGACCGACGTACTGAAAAAAGAACTAGGTACCGTCGAGCGTAGCATCCAAATGTTCCAGCAGACCGTTAATTCTCAACGGGGTCGCCACCAGCAACACCACCAGGCGCACTTCACCATCGTATGCCAGTCGCTCAAATCGCGCTGTGCCAAGAGCGTCAAGGCCTTTCACGTACGTGACGATAGTAAGGGGGGTGAAGATCGGGGCTCACTAGTTTGCTGCTGTTTTTGCAACGTGTAGCAAGCGCTCCAGCAGCATACTGCAGCTATTCGTGAACGCAGTACGAGGCGAAGCAAATTCTCGCATGGAGGAGGGAACCCCATGGTGCATATCAATGCACCATTGTTCTCGCGCACAGGTGCGGCGGGTGTGGGTGGGCATCAGGTGCTGCCGACGAAGAATGGCGCGCCATTGCAGCCACAACGGAATCAGCCACCTGGAGGATCTGCCACTGGAAGTGGATTTCAAGCGCCACCGGCCCCTACACCACCCAAGCCAGGTACTGCAACAATGCTGTTTATAATTGGGCATTATTGGTTCTTGCGACTGGGTTCTATTGCACGTATCTGACGCCTTTGCTGCCCTATGTGATTATCTGGTTAAAGGTGTTGCGCCGGCTTTGAGTCCACCAGCTCCTGGGGCAGGACTTCGCCGTCGTGCAAACCTTGGAGCTAGTCCATTTATGCAGCAGAGAACAACACCTCCAGGAAGTGGTGCAGGGGCGCAACAACAGCAGTATCGTCCTCGTGAAGACGCCCAGACGAGGTATAATAATGCGGCGCAGGTGGAGAGCACCATCGTGGAGGTATGTCGCTCTCTCTGCGAGTTGATTTAGTTAGCGACGTTGTCTATGGACTAATTGCACGGTGTTGTCTATCCGCTTTGATCTAGATCACAGGCATGTACACGCGAATGGCGACAATGGTCGCTGAGCAAGGAGAGATCATTTCGCGCATCGATGACGACATGGACATTGCGTACGTGGTTGCGCACTGTATACACATATAAGGATACAGTCATGAAAAGTATCATTTCCTGGCGCACTAACTGCTGTCTGTACTCAGCCAAACCAACGTGGAAGCCGCGCATGGCGAGCTGCTCAAACTCTTCAACATGGTGCAAGGCAATCGATCCTTGATCCTGAAGATCTTCCTCGTGCTGATTCTCGTCATTTTCCTCTTTGTCGTCGTCTTCTAGCACGTTACAACAGATCGAAGGCACTGACAGCAACCAACCAGCAATAATACAATAGACGTACTTGCCTTCATCCACGTCAACCATCACTTCAACTTGTGTAGCCATCTGACGATCGCTGAAACGGTCGCTGCAGAAAACAGCCAATCAGACACTGCCTCGGTCTTAGTATAGCTCTTCAACGACCGGTGATGAGCCATTCGCCGACAAGCAGTCGCCGGGATTGAAGCGATGGCGGTCAAGCCTCCCAAGAATTTGACGCTGGATCTGGAGGCGCCCGTCATGGTGGAGGACCTGGAGCCAGAGCTTCCCGTGGGCGATCTGGACGACCGTGTGGGCTTGTGGATCACGTACTGCGCCTTCTTCTTCAGCGGGGCAGGATCCATCGCCATGTGGAGCTCTATAACGCTGTGTCTTACCTTCTTTGACGAGAAATACCCGGAAGATCGCGTGGGCTTCGTCTTCCCCGTCGTCAATATGTCCACGTTGCTGGTTATCAGCCTGTACATGGTCATGGCGGGTCGACAACTGTCTCTGAACTCCAGGATGCACGGATCACTGGCCGCCTACGCGTCCTTCGTGCTGCTTCTCCCACTAGCCAACGTGATCGCTCTGCCCCATGACTTCGGCTATCCGCTGACGTTGCTGACACTCATGGGCTCGACAATCTCGTCATCCATCATGCAGTCGACCATGTACGGTTTGGGGGGAGTTTTCGGCCCCATGTTTATCCAGGCCATTGAAGGTGGCAAAGGCTTTGGTGCTATTCTGCTGTTTGCAGTTAGACTCACTCTAAAATGGTATTTGGAAGCCAATGACAGCGAACGACGTGACTTCCAGCTACAGAATTACTATGCTAAACTGTCGATGGGCGTGTTTTTCGGTGTTGCACTTGTCATTGTGACGACCACGTGGGTGCTGTACTGGGCTCTGCTGCATACCAGGTTCGCTCAGCCGTTGCTGACAGAGTACGCGCTAGTGCAGCATGAGACGCCATTGACTCCACCGGTGCTGTCGCCCCTGTCGAGCCCCGTTAGCCCGATGCGACGACCTAACGCGTTCTTCGGTCGCGATGGGGTGAACGAACGCAGCCCGCTGTTAGCGAACAACATGAGCGCGCGCAATGGAACCGCACTGAACAATCAAGACGACGACGCTGACGATGAGGAAGACGCGTTCGAGATTGAGGAAGAGCTGGAGGAGCACGCTGCCGCCGCGACCGTCATGAACGTACTGCATACTGCGCTCAAGCCCTTCTTTTCGCTGTTTTTCTCCTACTTCGTGTGCTTGTCGTGTTTCCCCGGCATCATCTCGGCCATTCCATCCGTGTCGCTGGGTCTGGGCGACTGGTTCCCCATTGTCTTGGTTGGTTGCTACAACCTGGGTGACCTCGTGGGGAAGAACCTGCCGATGTACGCGATGTACTTTGATGTTTCGACACTTCACCGCCCATGGCCATTCCAACTCTCGTTCCTCCCGCTGTTCATGGCAGCGCTTGTTCACCCCTTCGAAGACATTACGATCATCGTGGCAGTGTTATTGCTGGGGTTAACCACGGGGTACGTTGCTACATCCAGCATCATCATCGCGCCGAGCATTTGCTCCGAGTACCAGAAAGAAGTCGCTGGAATGGTGGGTGGACTCAGCTCTATCATCGGACTCTGCGCAGGATCTTACAACGGCTTGGCAATGGAGGCGATCGTCCAGTTCTGGACAGGAAACATGCCACAGGAGCAACCAATGCTTTAAAGCCCTGAAACTGAAAGATTACATCAAGTTGAATAGAATTTCCATGCAGATCCATAACGTGTCTGTGATGGTATCAATAACTTGACATAGCACGTACATTGTATCATGAACAAGTTTTCGCCATCGTGGCCAATGATAGGGCTCAAGAATCAGCTCGGTTCGCTTCAACCACGCTGAACAACGCTGAAAATAGGTTCCTGACCACATTAAGCATCATCTTCTCATCCGTCCCCAGCAAATGGAAGATCATCAGCAGCGCCCACCATCAGCGAACCCAGCCTCCGCGCTGGAAAACTTGGATGTTTCGACAATTGTGCCCGAGAGCGTCCTCAGCCCCGAAGAAATCCGGTTGTTAAAGCACAAGTTCGCCAATTGCAACACTGCGGCTGACAATACGAAAGTTCGTGCTGCACTTGCACGACTACCTGCAGCTCGTGCCTGCAAACTATTTCGAGAAGACTATCCGTCGCTGTCGGAGTGGGAAATCCAAGCCGTCTTCACTAAGTATGACGTCAATGGGGACGGTCATCTCTCTTGGAAGGAATACTTGCAGACTCGTGCTTACTACCGCATGCTGCTTGAAGAGAGCACTCAGATGGAGCTACAACGCATTTTCTCAATTCTTGACACTGACGCTGATGGTATTCTGCTCGCACACGACGTATTGCATCGGATCGAACAGACTGGACTGCACGGTGTTGGAATACTCAAGCAAGTCATCACTCAGGCAGTTGAAGCCACCAAAGGAGGCGTAAAAAGCAGACAGTATTACCACCGCGAAGGCGAAATCACATTTGAGCACTTCTCGGCAACGATCCACGATGTGAACCGCAAGATGGAGCAGGGAATCGCTATAAAGACTCTTCGTGTGATTGATCTGCAGCTGGAACAGCAGCAGCAACAGATCCACCGCCTACGCAAACCCACATCAGTCCCTGATAATAAACTGGAAGCGCTTCGAATTGAGATTGATGTGCTCACCAATGAGATCCGACGAATGAAGAAGGAGCTCATCACGGATAACAATAACGCACTTGGTGAAGCGTGTGAAAAGCTCATGGCCACGTATGAAAACGAGCAGCACGTGTATGAGTGCCTCAATAACTTCATCACATACTGCAGCCTTCGCGATGCCACCCTCTTTCGCTACAACTTGGAACGGGAAGGTAAGCGGGTCAATATTTTAAATTCAATGCTGCTCGCACCGCCCGAAAACCTCAAGGTGAGTACTTCGCCTCGTGTGTAGCCCGTAGTAGTACAATACTCATCATTTCTCTCCACAGACAACTGCTGAATATCGAAAAATGATGGATTTGTCGCTCGATCATGAGTATTCTAAATCCTCCCGTAACGCGTCTAATTCGTCTCAGCTAAGCCAAAGCAATCCCAGTAACCAGTCAAGCTTTACCACAGTAAAGAGCATTTACGCGACCCCGACACCTGAGGCTTCAGAGGGGATTCTAGAAACCTTGCTCATGAACGCAACGCTGCGAAAGCAGTTTGCGTACTATGCAATGACAGGGAACGTAACCAATCTGGTCTGGATCACACGAACCAACTTCACCAACTTCGTTAAGGACTGCAAACTGGACCTGCTCCCGACGCCGGCGCTTAAGGATGTAGACATCACAAACATTTTCGCAGCGGCTACTGGCACAGGAAAAGCCATGGATTTCGCGCAATTATTATCGGCTTGCATCCTCATTTTCAAGCGTTCTGAACACTTGCAAGTAAATGTGCGTGAAAGAGAATGCTGCATTGTTCACCATGCTTGAAGCTAACACTTGTTTGGTAATAGGAGCCACTGGCAGACGCTGACGTGCAAAAGTTTGTAGAAGTTCATGTTATTCCACGGGCAAAGATCATCCGAGTGCAGCAACTAGCTCCAGATATCTCACAAAATCACGTCATGAAGCTTCTCAAGGAGCATATATGGCAGTTCAAGCAAATTTTCTCGCATTTCGGAATTCAAAGCCTCGCCGAGGTAACGTTCACGGTCGACAAGTACTCTCCACCTCGCCCGCTGAATGTATGTCGTGAATGTTGTTGCAGGTAGATAGCAAAGTCCGCCTTGACATGAAGGAATTCCTTACATTTGCAAGGGCATTCAGTGAGTATCCCAAGTACTGTCTGACACAGTCGATATCCACTGACTGTGCTGATCGTTAACTTCAGATATCGTTCGCTCACCTCCTGATCGTGATGGCGACCCCTATTCGACACCAGAAATGCCTGGAAACGCTTCCATTGCCCCCCTCAGCCTCGTTGATCTTATTCGTGAGTACTATGCTGCCAAGCTTGACATCAGTATCACAGATTCCGACCGGAGGGAAGCACCGGATCTGAGTTTTCGCGAGTTCCTTCGATGTGTACAGCGAATTTCATTGGCCATGCATGCCCGCAGCACCAGCAAGCACGGTGCTGCCCGGGCAAACGGTGTGACAACGACATTGTTTGAAGCAACCAAGGACGATAGTAGTCGATCACCCGAAGCAGTATCAACTCCGCGTACTCCACGATACCAGCGACGTGGTAACTTGCTGGCAGTGACTTCACCCACAAAAAATTGCAAGATCACGAGTACATCCGTGATCACACGGCTTCTCCAAACGTCAAGAGCGCTTGTAATGTGCCAGCTTCAAAATCAATTTCATCAGATGGGGAACGAGGAGGATCCACACCATGAAAAACGTCCAATGACCGTGATATGTCCTCCGATAAAACCTAAAGCTGCATCTCCGCTTAATCCACGTCGGCCATCAAGCTCTCATAAAGCACGCCTCCGACCGCTAACATCCGGTGGACCCCCACGCATCCGAATCATTCTGCGACCAGCTACGTAATAACGCTGAAGTGCGCAAAAGTCGCATATAGCATCATTCTGCAGTAAATCCAAATGCAGCTCTCAGCTTTATGCGGGAACTCGGCGAAATCAGGTTGTCTGGAAATGGAGCGGTAGCGCAGATAGCGAGAGTTGAGGGGGATGTTGTGATTGATCGCTGTAGCGCAGCAGGGTCCCATACTTTCAAGAACAGTAACAAATTCCCCAGCATTTGTGTCACCTGTAGGGGTGAACGGGTCTGTCCAGGTGAGGTGACTATTGTAAGCACAAGTCAATAGGGTGACTTCAACTCAACAACGATACCGCACGTACCTGATCGAACCAGCGAGTCAAAAAATGCAACACCTGGAAGAACCGATGCATCACACGAGGTTAATCCCATATTTCTCCAAGCAATCTCGATTGCTCGCTCTGTCTGACCAACACATTTTGTGGCGTGAGGTAAGAAATCACACCATACCGCACATTACTTATTACCTGTCCGATATCCAAAAGAGTGCGGACTAGAGAGCAAATCTCCCTCAGGCGGAAGTACATGTCCAGGCCCACTTGCATCAAAGCTGGATAGGTCTCTCCATTTCGGATCATCAACTCGGCAAGCTCTACAGAATCAGCTAGCACATGGTAATGCAAAAACTGGTAGAGCTTGTTTGGTTCTCCTGCTGCTATAAAACACTCCGCAAGCGCAACATTTCTGACAACAACCTGTTAGCCACAAGCTGTAGCGTCAAACTCATTGGCCCTGCAGGAACTCACGTAATGTTCTCCACTGGTACCTTGTTCTCGCGCAGATTCTTGATATATTCGACTATATAAACGCTCAAATCACACCGGTGAACAACCTGAATGAAGCAAGGTTAGACTCGATAATACTCTACCCACTACAGTAGGCTAATTCGTACCTTTGCGTCTTGAAGTATATCACTCCATACGTGGCGATAAAACTCTGTCTGTTGAATAACGAGGAAACCCCTAGCGTTGCGAGCATGCAATTTCACTGTTTCTGCTGAATATCCAGCAGTTTCTTTCCCTGAACTAGTATCTTTATCCAGCACAGACCCCGCAGTTTTGCTTTTCTCAATATGCTGCAGTACGTCAACACAAAAGTTAAGACAATCAGTGTTTAAATAGCGGTACATGCAGAAACACCGACATTGTTACGTTGCTCGCTGCCGCACACCGTTTGAACAGTATTCAGCAGTTGCACGATTGAAGAAATAGACGCTTGGTGCTCCACAATATAGCCACGCACTAGCATCAATATCAACAGCTTCGCTGCTTCATGATCCCCTCGACGCAACAGAAATGGCAAGATCTCGCGATGGTGCTCGCAAGTCTTGCAGATCTCCTTTAGGTTCAGCTGCAGCTTACGAATTTCTACTTGTTCGCTTCCCTTTGCTGAATACGAACGTTGTACGAGATTTGGGGCGTGAAAGCGCCAACGGGTAAAGCTTGGCACAGCACCGTCGTGCTTTTGACCTGGTGGCCGCGACGAGATCGGCAGTGGGGCTGAGAACGGATCGCTGATACTCCTGTCACACTTGATATCAAAGAACATGCTGACGTTAAATTCCATACTGTGACACACGAGTAAATTGTCCACGACCGAATACTCCAGCGCTGTCCCCGGCGGCAACATGACGTTCAACGAGCGCACACACGTCACCTTTGCGCGTCCCACCAAATACAACAACAACTTTGTCGATCGTGTATCACTGTACACCACGTATAGATCTCCATACAAGGTGACGAGATGAAGATCTTGCTTGCTCACCGACGTCGAGAACACGAGCTCGGGTAACTTCTCCGCGTTTGTTCCATGCAGTAAGAATGACACGACCTCATTGGCTCTCGACCCAGAGCTGACCAGCAACACTCCATGCGAGGCTGCATACCAGAATTCATGGACGTATAGCCCCACCGTCCTGTGCAGGGCACAGCTACGCCTCTTGGAACTGACGCGGTGGTGTTCCAGCCCTAGTTTTGTGACTAGGAACAGGTCCTGAGAGCTCGTGGCCTTGAGCGAATGCGTGTTCCAGATGATGCCCCCGTGCAGGATCCTGTTGCCGGCTTTAGACTTACACAAAACCCAGTAGGACGCCCGAGTGCCGCGATCCAAAACCTGCACCTCGATGTCGCTGCGCTGGATGGCAAGAAATTGGCTATCAACCGACAGCTGCAGCAGTATTATTGGAGTCTGGTTGCGCTGTTGGACAGCATCTCGGTGGTCGCCGCTGGCTTCCGGCTCGTTGAAGTCGTAGAGCGTCTTCAGGTCTGAAGGAGGGGAAAATGTAGCTGTTGCAGCAGTCATGGGATCCAGCGATGCATCCAGAGGAAGCTGCTGTAGCTTTAGCGACAGTGGGGACAGAACCAATACACTCTGGTGTGTTGCGTCGTACCAGGCGTGGCGATTGTCGCCCTCGTAGGCAACACCACCGCGTGCGTTCAAGAACAGATGCATACTGGAAAATGGATCCGCGTATACGAAGTATACATTGGGTTATACTCGAAAAAGTGCGATTGCTAAAAACTGGTACATCTGGATATTTCCGACCAACAGTTTGACGTTTTTGGCGGGAGTTATGGCGGTCGTGGAGGCGAATGAACCGCGCGTGGAGAGGGGCGCTAACGCCTGGAACGGAATGTTGACGGATGCGGTGATGAAATGCGGACGTGACAGCGAGCGGAGGCTCTATAGTGCGTACTGACGGTCTCCTTTGTGACGTGAATTAGCGTTGAATGGGGGCTTAACTGTGTGACTAATCGCTGTTGACGGATCTGGCGCGTGTAGTGTACGGCATCAGCTTGAACCGCTGCCCGAAGTGCCAGGCCAGACTGCGCGCCGACACCAACACGTGTGTCAGCTGCCACTATTCACACAAGACGCTACGTACGTGAGTTGCTGAGGACTATTGACAGCATTGTGACTGTTAATGTGCGACTTTAATAACTCCAACTGCGCTACAATTTCACAGGTAAATGCATGCGCTGCAGCCAGAAAAACGACCCTGTCATGTGGTGCGCGGAATGTGACGCTTATTTCTGCGCTAGCTGCCACAAGAAGCCGCACGTTTTGATGCTCGGGAGCAGCAAGCCCCACCACTGCTTCCCTATCGACGGCGCCAGTGGGAAGCACTTTGTGGAAGGAGCGTGGTCTGGCGAGTTCATCGAGATGGTGCGGGCGGCGTATCGTCTACGTCTGCACGACAAGATGGAGGCGGACGAAGCGAAGGCCAAGTCGACTGCGGCCTTTAATGGAGTTGCTGGCCAAACAGTCCCTGCAAAAGGTGCGTCCCCTACTGCTACTCCTCCTGCGGCATCAGCTGCTGTCGCTTCTTCTACAGCAGTGGTGCCGCCTACAGCTGCAACCCAAGAGCAATCTCGCAAGCGGCAGCTACCTAGTGCAGATGACAGGCGGGGCAAAAAATCAACTTGTACCGATGAGGCTTCACGTTCCAGTGGACAACCAGCGGCGGCTCCAATGGACGGTATGAGTCTGTATGACCGTGTGAAGGCAATGCACGATATGCGAGCGAAAGTGGCGCAATCCAATGCCACTCAAGCTCGATCACCAAAAATGAGTTTGAATCAGCTCTTGGCGCAACAGAATGAAGAACGCTTGCGGCAAAAACGAGAGCAGGAAGAGCGACCGAAGAGAGAAGCCGACCGTATACTGCAGAAAGAACAGCATCGTCAACAGGAGCAGGAGCGGAAAGAGCAGTTAAAGAAAGCACAGGAGGAGCAAGCAGAGCAGCGGCGACGAGAAGAAGAACAACGGCAGCAACAAATACAGAAACAACAAGAGGAGCAACGACAGCTAGAGGGACAGCGACGGCAAGAGGAATTGCGCCAGCAAGCGCTTATTCAGGAACAGCAGCGGCAGCGGCGTATGATGGAAGAACGGATGCGGCACGAACAGATTTTGCGGGAACAGGAAGCGCGTCGACAAGCTGAAGCGCAGTCACTGATGCACGATGGCAACCGATTCGTTAGTCAAGCGCAGCGTGTGCTGAACTCCCAACCAGGGTTTGCGGTTGCCTCCATGGCTCCGTCAACCATTTCTGCACCAATGCCACAGTCGTCCAACGCCCGGTTTACACGAATCCCTTCTCCAGTCAACGTATCTCCCCATGCTCCGCGGTTCCAACCGGCTTCACCATCTCCCGCGTCCCAGGCCTTCCCGTATCAATCTGCTCCTGTGTCGAATGGGTATTCTTCTATGACCAACGAGCAGGGATCACAAGTTTATCAGGGTCCTGGAGGAGTACCAGTATCGAGATTTGAGACTATTTCACACGACCACGATGGAAACCACCACCTTGTCGTTAGGGATCATAATGTTCAACAACAACAACAGCAGCAAGCAGGTTTCTCGGATGCAATGGTTCCACATCGGATGGCGGCTGGCGCAGGAGAGGGACGCTTCAGCCCTAGTAAGTCTGGTGAAGACGACGAGCTACGTGCGATCTGGGTGAGCGATTACGACAATGTTAATGCGTTGGTGATGCAACTGGACGTGGAGATCACCAAGCGGACGGAAGAAGGTCACGAGTTTGTGCACAGGTCAAACACCATTACGATCCCGGAGCAACTGAAGATACAGATCAACAGCCTCTGTGCTCAGCGGGACGCAGCGATCAAGAAGAGATTTGAATCGGTAGTTCGTGTGCTTATCTTCTCCGACGCGGTGCGTTCGTTTGCGCAGCAAAATGAGCACGTTAACATTTGGAGCGATGTCCCAGCGGTATTGACGTCGTCTCACAAGAAGTGCGCAGAACTGGCAGCCGAGATACGCGAGTTTGAGTCTCAAGCGCAGAAGCTGCGCGAAGGAATTGACGAGGCCGTGTCGAGCGGCAACCCTGCACAGATGCAGAACGTGGCACATCTTGGCGCTCTGATCGCGGACTTGGAGCAGAAGATTCGCACTTCCAACGGTGAGCGTGACAAGCAGTTTATTTTCATGTTCCAGTTCAGCGACACGCTTAGAAACATGGTGCGCGCCGAGTGGGCGGCACCCGGAAGAGGTCTTCGCTTGCCCGCAAGCCAATAACAAATAAAGGGATCTTTTCCGGACATGTAAACGTTCATTACTGTAGCTTCAAAAACGATATCCTGGCAAAATTACCATGAAGGATAGGCGCCACGACAAGCCAAACTCAGCGATTTAAAGCCACAATACTCGAGAGAACACTTAAGATCCTTCTGATCTGCTACACTTTGTTTTTCTACCTAGTAGTATCAATTCATTCTGTAAACTAATCTAATGAGTATTTCTCGTGAAAAGGGTGATGTTGAAAAACATCAGGGAATTGAGGCCAAAGCAGCAATATGCTAACTCAGCATAGGTGGAGGCGACCTAGATCGCGCTCAAAACGGTCAAAGACCATTGACAAAGCGTCGAACACTAAGCGCGAATGCACTTAGTAATCCTGTGAAGCCGACGACTTGCCCTTCTTGCCAGCAGAAGCAGACTTCTTGGGCAGAAGCACCGAGTGGATGTTGGGCATCACACCACCCGAGGCGATGGTCACGTCACCCAGGAGCTTGTTCAGCTCCTCATCGTTGCGGACGGCCATCTGAATGTGGCGCGGGATGATACGCGTCTTCTTGTGGTCGCGGGCGGCGTTGCCAGCAAGCTCGAGAATTTCAGCGCAGAGGTACTCGAGGACGGCGGCCATGTAGACGGGAGCGCCACCACCGATACGCTGGGCGTAGCGGCCCTTCTTCAGGTAACGGGCGACACGGCCGACGGGGAACTGCAGACCTGCCTTGGCCGATCGGGTGCTTCCCTTTCCTTTCTTGCCACGGCCTCCAGTAGCGGCTTTTCCCTTTCCAGACATGTTAATTAGCTTGAGCTTCTCGGCGACTTGAGTTAGTGCGTGTGAATTTCGATATGGCTCGAAGGCGGTTCGAGGATTGCAAAACGCAGGTTTTTGGATGCAGATCTGAGACCGGGAGAGAAGACGCGGCTATCAATCGACTGTTTGGCGGGTTGGTGAAGGCGGGGCGACAACGCTCTATCCCCTACCCCGAATAAGCCAAAGCGAGGTCACAGGCGAAAATGGACATGTCTCGGCATTGGTTAATAAAATTTTGGTGTGATCTGATTGACGGATCCTTAAAAATATTCCCGCTGATTGGTGGAATTTCAAAAGGCGGGAAGAGGTGCAAGTTTGCCTATTTCGCGGTGCGAGTCAAAAGAGGTCAAAGCGCGCCAAGAAAAAAATCCAAGCTCTGAAATGCTCATTTTCGAATTTGCTTCAAAGTCGACCACCAACAACCACCTCAAGAACCATGTCTGGAAAGGGAAAAGCCGCTACTGGAGGCCGTGGCAAGAAGACTGGCAAGAGCTCGACGCGTTCGGCCAAGGCTGGCCTGCAGTTCCCCGTCGGCCGTGTCGCCCGTTACCTTCGCAAGGGCCGCTACGCCCAGCGCACGGGCAGCGGTGCTCCCGTCTACATGGCCGCCGTCCTCGAGTACCTCTGCGCTGAAATTCTCGAGCTTGCTGGCAACGCCGCCCGCGACCACAAGAAGACGCGTATCATCCCGCGCCACATTCAGATGGCCGTCCGCAACGATGAGGAGCTGAACAAGCTCCTGGGTGACGTGACCATCGCCTCGGGTGGTGTGATGCCCAACATCCACTCGGTGCTTCTGCCCAAGAAGTCTGCTTCTGCTGGCAAGAAGGGCAAGTCGTCGGCTTCGCAGGACTACTAAGCGGGATAATTACGCCGAGCAAGAGTAGTAAACTGTGATCGTGATCGTGTCGGTGGCCAACAGAGCTGCTGGCAAGTTTTGCGTGATCTAACTCGCGTCTGCCGAATGATGCAATTTCTCTGCGATCAGTGGCTATGCCCGCTGGCTGCACTCAATCCTCTGATGTTTTTCAACATCACCCTTTTCGAAAGAAACTCAAACAACGATAGCTGTAGAGGTATCTGCTGTGTAGTTGATCCCTGCAACGTAGTATATCGTACACCGGTAGGGCTGTCGTTTTTACTGTTCTGATAGTCACGGTTGAAGGAGGTCTAAGGTTTCGGTTGCATGCATGCGATCCTGAAGTTGTGAAGTGGAGAGCATGTTCTCGCGTTAAACTGACGATGAGAAACCTCGGACGGTGGAACATGTTTAAGCTGAGAGTCTGGCTTTATGGCAGGATTACTGTACGACGCAATGGCACGAAGGCAAAAAACTACCCTCGATCAGCGACATCAAAGTATTGTTAGTCACTGTTGATGCCACGGTTTAAGCGGAGCCACGAAACGGAATGGCACTTTCCGATCCGGCACGAAGCCGTGCTCGTCTTCGTCTTCGTCGAACTTGAGAATCACGTACGGAGCGCCCTGCAAATAATAGCATCATATAAGAACTGCTGTTAGTAACTCTATTGATCCACACCTCCTGTCTGCAGAGCGAGGGTACCTTCGGGTTTGGCACACGAATGGTGCTGCGGAAAAAGCTAGTCGTGTTGGGGTACATGGCCATGACGCGCTCGTTCACAGCGTACTGGATCCATGTTCCTTCTGGTAGTGAGTCGCCGGGTAGTTCCACGACTTGTTGCCATGGTACGATGTAGTGTCTCCTCGGCGCATCAGTGTCATCTTCGTCGTCGCCCGAGTCAACGTCCTCCACCTCGTAAGTGTTCGAGTCGGCGTTGAACTTGACCACACGCGCCATGATCCACAGTTCGTGGCTACGTGCCACTTTAGCTGCAACGTGGCAACCTATAGCTAGAATGTCCTCCTTGTTCGGGATCATGACGCCCTTGTAGCCGTCGCTCTCCATGGCTGCTTTGGCGGTTGATGAGCTCCCCGCTCGCGGGCGGGCATACGTGCGGCTGTAGAGATTAGCATCTTCCTTCGCCTCCGCCTCCTTCTGCTTGTCCGGTCCGGTACCGATCTCCCCTCGACTATAGTCTCTCTCTACACGTTCGATACAATGGTTCAGTTGCCGCCGCTGCTTCGCCAGTAGACGGCAAGCTAGCGCGAGCCAATGTTGGAGCTGGCGAGCCCACTTCTTTTTGGTCTCTGCATCACCCTCGCCATTCCCTGACCGCAGCAACTTCTCACGCAGCACGTTGATCTTTTTTGCAATCACGTCCATGCCATTGTCCAGTATTTGTGTCGTTACGAACGCGTCCAAAGCGTCCTGTGCTGCTGGCACGCGCTTCCCGCTTCTGTGCTGTGAAGCCATGTTGGGACCTGTAGTTATATTTCGAATAAAATAGTGAAACATTTTTTGTTATTAAGGAAAAAAAATATGCTAAAAAAAAAGTTCATCACCAAGATTGTGAGCGATGGTGTTTCGTGTTGAGGAGTCTGTTGCCGCTGTGGGTGCACCCACTCTTGGCACGCAGGCAGACCTGCTTGTCTGTCAGGCCGTATTCGAGTCCAGCCGGTACCTCGTCTACACCTCTGAGTCGCTGCTGGTTGTACTAGTGGAGGCGCCTCCCGTCTCGACGCTTGACCAGAGCAATCTCGCGCCCAGATTCGAGCTGTGGCAGGTCTGGAACGCGCAGGACGCCATTCTATGCGTGCGCTTCAATTCAAGCAAAAAAGCTGCGCGCGGCGCGCTGGCGCTGTGCATCGAAGAGGGTCGTGGCGTGCTGCTAATGCCCTCTAGCGCCACGTCAAGCAGGGCGGCTACGACGGCGGAGGCCTCCAAAGCCTCGACACTGGATGACCGCTCAGGCTCAAGACTGGGCTCTGTAACGGCAGGTAGTGACCTGATCCCGAGCACTGACTACGTAAAGGCTCATCTGTATCTTCACTTGCCCCGATGGGCCGAATCTGTACGCTGGAAGTGCGACGATCGTCTTCTTAATCACTTGGAGTGGGTGGAAAGTGGAGACGACCTCTTCCTACTTGGAGCTGGAGAAAAGCTCTCCATTTGGAAGCTCGTAGACGACTCGGTGCAGGTTTATTTGCAACGCACAGTTACGTTGTCAGGAGGCGGAGGACCTGGCATGGACTCGCTGCTAGCGGTTGAACCGGTGTGTCACTTTGATGTGGCGCCAGGAGGAAGCTTCGCTGCAACGGCAGGTAAACACGACAGGATCGTGAAGGTGTGGGATCTTGGAGAGCTGTCGCCGCACGAAGGCGCACCAATGTCGATGTTTCTTGCGCATACTCGTGCTCTAGTTTCCATGACATGGTCGAAGGACGTGAACGTTTATAACTCGCGATCGACTGTCCCCACGACGGGTGCTTGTGAGATGCTGTTCACTCTTGATCGAGCAGGTGATATTTTTATTTGGAGAAAAAATGTCGCCCCACTACGCTCATTTGTGTTGTGGAAGCATTTTGCTGCTGTGGATTTCTGCCTGTCGTCGATTGACGAGAACGACGTAAGTATTGAGAGCCGCATCCAAATATTCGGCTTGGTGGATCACTATTGGGCTCGAGAATTGTCAAAGACGGTGTCATCGATAAAGGAAGCATTACTGAGTGAAAGCACCGTGATGGACGCGCTATGTCTATTCCACTATGGTTATGGATCATTAAACGAAGCGCGTCGAAATGAACTGGGTAGTCAGCGCATGGATAGTATTACGCAAATGAATGCGAAGCTGCTAGGAGACCGAAGCGGTGCAATGGCAGATACCTCCGTGGGAGAAGCTTTAATTCCTGGAAACGTAGCGCTCGAGAAAACTTTTGTGGTGAATTTACTCTACGGTATACTCGATAATGGCGACTTGTGCATCTTCCGTGGAGAAGCAGCCCCCTTTACGGTACGTTTGATACTTCATTGAGCTTCAATGGAATCGACTGACCTGGTTAAATCCGTTGTGAATGAGCAGGGTGCTTCTCCTAAAATGTCTCTTCTCCTTAGTTATGATGGACTTCGTGAACAACTCGTTGGTGCACATGTGTTCAGTGTCAGTTCGTCTGATTACCAAGGTATGTATTGGTGGCTGCCTACGTGAAATGTGCTAGCTGATGGATAATACACTATTGCTACAGATCAAGAAAGCGCCTCAGCTGGCTTCTTTGTGGAGGTATTATTCCAGCAGAAGGAAGGTGAGAGTTATATGAAATGTGCAAGATTGAAGCTCCGAGTCGACAGCAGTTCGGATAGTACCCGTAGGGGCTCTGTCTCCTACTCAGTTCAGAGCTGTGAAGTCGGCGCTGCATCTCGTAGCATGATGAGTGCCACGAAGGAAGGAGATGTCCAATCCGCATCCCTTTCAGTTGCAAACATGAAATCAAGGTGTCTATCAGACCCCCAAGCTAATGAAGGCGAGCTGGCTGTGAAGATTGCTACTACAAACATGGGCGGGCGATTGAATATCTTTCTAGCAAGCGGGTCGTTGCGCAGGCTTGATGTTGCTTGTCACTCCAGAACCGACAACGCTGTTGGCCCTGTCACACACACAGCTTTGTTCGAAGAGCGAGGAGTGCTGTATCTATTTATTGGAGGGAAGTTGCACGTTGCAATGGTGAATCCAGACACAGAAATAAAGGTTATCGAAAGTTCACCCTCGGACCAATTGGGGTCACAAAAGAAGCACTCACTCTCAATTGCGGGGCATGGTGCACTGACACTCACAACGTGTTATACGGATGTAAGTAATGATTTCGAAGAGTTGGATGAATTGATTTCTGTGGAAATTCCCGAATCTGTTAAGACTGAGTGGGCAAACAGCTTGTCATTCTTCTCTTCTCCAACGACGAGCAACCCCACCAAGGATTTTAGTATGGCTATTGGCGTTCAGAAAGGCGGAAGAAAGCTTACTGCTTGGGTTTTCTCGTTTGAGATGACAGTATCCGGGTCACTGGCGTCTTCTGTCAAGCTATTCCGAAAAACGACAGTTGACTTACCTGGCACCAGATTGCTGGGTGTTGCCAATGTCCCATTGCTGAATTCGTTTGAAGTCACATTTGCAAGCTTTGACGCGGACTCGCTGTTAACACTATGGACATTTGCAGACCTGGGTGATTTACTTGAGGTAAAGTCTGCTCACAGAGTCGACGTTGGCGCATTAATGAGACTGGTCAACCAGGCACAAAGGTCTCACATGGAGTTTCATCCTACTGAAGAACAAGCCGTTTTCAAACAGTTTAGCTTCAGCTTGTGCGGACGGGTGGCTATTTTATTTGGAGGGGGTGACAGCGAAGCCGATGACAAAATTTGCTTTTTGCCTACCATGGAGCGGACCTTGGAAGGAGTTATTGAGGTTCCGCGTAAGCAATTCGGTCAAGTGGTGTCTTTGGAGTGGACGCCGCCAGTAACGCCGGAGCGGAGCTGCGAGCTTCTGTTTCTATCGACCACAACCATCGGCATGCTGAAGTTTGACTGCTCAGTGCCTTCAAACAAGTGGAGTATTGCGTGGTCTTCCAGTCGCTTTAGTGTAAGACCTGAAAAGATTTCGTCGCTCTCGAGTTATCCGTACGGCCTACTCCAAATCGGATCCAGTTTGACTCATCTCAACATTCGCGATATCGACGGAGCTGGATTTTTGTCACCGTTTCAACTGTCTTTTGCGTCTCCAGTGCATCTTCGTGGACAGTTCCTCGGCTTCCAGCCAGCTTCGAAAGCAGTTCCTGCGTACCACCCCATAACGCTGATGTACTTGCTTGCACGTGGATCGTTTGAGACACTTGAGAGAATTCTTGAGCACGTGAAGGTGAAAATTGTGGAGCATGAAGAAACATGCTACCTACGAATGACAGACGACACCGTGCTGCGAACTCTTCCTTTGCTCTCGTTATCAAAGCTGCTAGGAGACCCTACGTCTACTGAAAGCAAGTATGACGAGCGATCGGATGTCTACCTGAGAGGAAAAAGCAGTAAGGGGAGTGGTGGTGCCGGTTATGGTGCAGTCTCTTCAGCTCCAGCTAGAGCTAGTGACCTATTTGCGATGGATTTTGGGGCATCTCGTCGATATGGAGCTAGTGCAGGTGGCGCTGATCGTGCGGACATGCTGTTTGCTCCTCAATCTACAATTTCCGATTCACCATCTAGCCAAACAACCGCAACATCGAAGTCGAAGATGGAAACGGACGAATTCCCGAATTTTTTCAACAAGCACAAAGGTTCCTTGACGTTTATGCCGCCTCGGGAATCGGAGATATTCCTAGCGATCGTCGCTGGCATAAAGAAGACCTTAAGTTGGGAGCGTGACAGCAGTCGCCAGAAGGACGAGGCTGCTCTTCGTTTTCATGCCTCTTTGTTGTGGCCAGTAGATCCACCAGCTAGTGGTACATCCAGTCAGTCTACTGCGACCGAGTCGGATACTCCTGATCAGCAAGTCTTCAATGAAACAACTGCTCTGACGCCGAGCCTTCAAGCCGTGACCGGACTTTGCTCTGAACAAGTCGCTTGGGGAGCGCTTAGTGACTTCCAACCAGAATTGCTTCAGGAATGCTTTCCGACTGGAACAATGAGCTGGAAAGAGATGCGGCGTCTACGACTGCCTTTCTGGCTGAAAAGCTCTGCTAAGCTTGTTCAATTTACAGAGAAGGTGGCGCAGGCTGAATATGCAGCGAACCGAGACCCCTTTGCGGTTGCTGTATTCTATGTGTTGTTGGGTAAAACCAGTCTGCTGGCGAGCCTGTTCAAGATGGCAAATGAGTCTCGGATTTCTGAGCTTTTGAGGAACAACTTTTCAGACTTGCGCTGGAAAAATGCTGCCATTAAAAACGCCTATGTGTTGAAGACTAAACAGCGCTATGAGCTGTCAGCAGCGTTCTTTTTACTTGGCAGCAAAGTTACTGAAGCAGTCTCGGTGGCTGAGCAAGCGGACGAGACGCTTGTTCTGTCCTTTCTCATTGCTCGAATCTCGGAAAAATGGGACCTCGGAGGCCAGGATGACTCACTGAGAAGCTCTGGTGTGGCTGATTTTTCGCAAGCTTCTTTTACGGGCCTGAGTACGAATCTTCGTGGACTTGCTGATCAATTGGGAGCAAACTCGGGAACCACCGGCGGCGAATCGTCCGAAGCAAAAAATGTGTGTATCGATTTCCTCAACACCGCCGTCTGGGCAAAGGCTTCAAAGTGTGGAGATGTTTACATGTGCTTCCTAGTGAAGTATTTCCTGGGCGAAACAAGAAGTGCCATCGATATCTTGATGACACCGCCGACTATTGACATGAAAAGTATGTTTGGCGACATGGAGAATGCGACCGTCGATCCATCCAGTATGTACTGGTCAGCATTTGGGAAAAGTCTTCTTGGTGCGTGTGACCTACTGCGCTTTCTTCGGAAGACTATTATGCCGATGAAGCTAGCACTGAAGGAGAAAATTATAAGGCTGAACACTTCAGCCGTACTTCGCATGCAAGATGCGGGTCTCGGAATTCCAGCGCTGATCCACCAGCGTGACGTCGCTTCATTCGTGCAGGAGTTCCGTCGGGAACGCGCTACAAGCTTTGCTGTAACGGCATTTTTAGCTTGTCGCCAGCGGATCCTCATGGCAGCAATAGGAAATCAAGTGGACTTCCTGTATGCCACGTTCTTGAAGTCAATGCGCGAAGCAATGACTACTCCTGCCAGCTCAGCGTCCAGTCGGTTCGACCTCGAAGACCGACTGAACGAAGAGATTCAATGTATTGTGTACCATGGAGGCGATTACGTTCTACCGGGTGTACCAGAAAGCAGCAAAGACAACATGAAACACAGAGTCCGGACCGCTGTAGTGCAGTCGCTGGTTCACTCCGGTCGTCTTGCTGCATTGGACTTTTTGGTCTCCGGTTGGAGCAATTCTGATGGTTCATCGTCAAAATTTGCATTTACTAGTCCGCTGCCACAGTTTATTGAAGTCATCGTGGAGGGAGTCGCTACGGTAGCGTCGGGAGACCTCATGTCTGCTGCCACAGACAGTTTACACACAAGGAAAGTGGATCAAACGTGTTCAAACTTGTTGGCTATGGCGACGCGCCTGCTGCTTTGGCTGCAGTACTTTTTTCTGAAACCAGCGAAGCAAAGAGCGACGTTACCAAACCGAGAATTTGTACGAATTGCAGTCGCTGCAGTCCACAGCGTCATCTGCGTCTGCTGTCGTTATCTGAAGAATCCGTGCTGTTTGTACCGCGTGCTCGGTCTCATCTTCCCGCATAAGGACATATTGTCTTCCAACTCGGAGGAGGCACTGAATGATATCGCCGGCGGTGATTTATGTGTGATTTGTACTCCCCTTCGCCGTCCAACCATAACGCCTAACACAGGTGCATCATCGCTCCATCAAGACATTCCAGTGCTGTACCAGGCAGTTTGTATGCTCGAGTTGGAGCTGGATGAGTTCACGGCAGCAGTGAAGACGAACAGGTTGCACCATCCGATGCCATCACGCGATTTTGAGACTTCTCTCTTCTCGTATTGTTCGTACTGGGGCCTGGTGTTGGTGATGGCAGCCGACGCCATGCCAGCTCACCTCTCAAAAGTTGCGGGACAAGACGTTGCTTGTACCGTAGAGCTGTTTAAGGAACTAGTTGAGGCTTGGAGAAACTACAGCAACCGACTCGCTGAATTCGCCTTGAAGCATCTACTGTGCGACTTGGCTGGCTTCTTCTTCAGTCCGTTCTCGATTTCACACGCTCCGTCAAGCCCCACTTTACCAACTTCACCTCGAGGGTTGCCTTCGCCTAGTCGCAGTGGTGCCGTTGGGAGCCCGCGCGCATTCCTTGCGGATGGTCCGGGATCTCCCCCGTCACCACAGCGTTTGAACCGACGGCAGTTGCTGAAATGTGAATGCGAACGCTGTCCATGGCTTCTGCTCGTGGAGCTTTTCGCGGACAAGAACGAGCTTTTGCTTCGTCTGAATGCTCAACTGGAATGCTGCAGTGAGAAAATTGACGAGGAAGTTCGATGGGGACGCCTGCCGGAGCCTGCTTCACGGAAATCTGCCTTAACGCGCTCGCAGAAACTCCTTTTATCGACTGTCGCTGAAAGTGCAACAACGTTTTCGCGTGCTGCTAACCTTGCCGACCAGCTTAAACGGCGAATGGCAATGCCCACGACAGCCTCTGTGCATGTGCAGTGCGTGTATCGCAGCGAGACGAACATCAAAGCCATGTGCTTTAACCGTGCCGCCGGTGAAGATGCGGAAGTCAGCGTATGCAGCAACAAAGGCATTTTCAGGGCTAGCAGTATGGACTACGCAGATGGCAGTCGTTTTCAATTCAAGGGCATATATGCGTCGCCACAAACGGCGTTTTTCTCTGCTGACGCATCTCTGTCGTCTCCGGTGAAGAGAAGACAAGCTTCAGATGCGATGCACAGCGGCAACTTTTCTCCGTCGAGCAATCTGGCCACTCGTAGCGTTGCACCCCCATCACCTCTACGAAATCCAGCGCATCTGCTATCATCCCCGTCGGAGCCGAAGACGGCGAGCTTCAAGCCCACCGCTGTGGCTTCTCATCCATTCTTGCCGCTCTTTGTGTCTGGAAACCACAAGGGACGAATGCATTTGTGGTCCTACGACCGTCTCAGTGCAATTTGCGCATTTCAAACCAAGGACATCGTGACGGTACTTGATGGCTTTGCATTATATGGCATTTTTGGGTTTATCCTCGATCTAACTCTAATCTGTAGCCGTATCCAACAAGTCCGTCGATGTTATCTGGTTGGCGAAGTATCAAGGCAATAGAATTTGACAATCTCGGCCAGCAGGTTTGTATCGCCTTTCAACGACATCTCGTTTTTTCAAGTACAACTGACTTCTTTGTGTTTGTTTGACTGATTGTAGCTTGGCGCTGTGGATGCCATGGGGCATTTATTCATGTGGAAGTTCTCCGACTTGGATCGATCTCCTTATTACCGCGAGATAGTTGTAAGTTTCTGCATCCTACGGGATCAATGACGACTTGTACTAACGGAAACACGTATTTGTGTGCTTAGTGTCATGATAAGGGTGCCAAGGGACTCGTCTTTCTCAACTCAAGCAGTACCCTCGCTACCGTGGGAACATCATCCGAGTACGTTATCAAGTATTATGTTTGAGAAAGTTTTAGAGCTAATGATGGCATGTATTTTGTATACAGGAAACGAAGTGTGTGCGTGTGGGATACTCTCCTGCCGACTTCCAAAGCTCTCGTCGCGGCCCCAGCCTGCCACCCAGCAGGTGCCACCTCGGTTGCGTTTTCATCGACCCACCAACTGCTCATCACGGGAGGTGCTGGTGGCGCGTTGAGCATTTTCGACATGAGACAGCGTCGTGTTCTACATACGATCTCAAACGCCCATGAGACTCCGATTAAGACAGTCGCGCTGCACCCAAGCGGAGACTGTGTGCTATCGGGGTCTGCCGGTGGTGACGTCAAGATCTGGTCCCTACCGATCTTCAGGGAGGTCGCTTTTCTAAGCAAGGTGCACGTCAAGCCTTCGTTCCTCGGTGATGCCACGAACTTCCTCAGTGATGCCGCATCGAACGTGGCAATCAACGTGGTATGTACACGTTAGCCTTCATTCATCATCGAATTCGTGCTGAATTGTTTATCCTTTATTTGCCTATAGACAAATTCATCGTGGGGAGTGACTGACGCTGTCGCCACGAAAGACGCATTTTATACGAGCGGCACGGATGGGTCCATCCAGCGTCTTAAAGTACCTTCGTTGGGCACTCGTCTCTAGTTTTCATCAACGGTGCGTATACAACACACTCATTTCGACTGTTGTACACTGTGCACTATCAATACACGGTCGGTTTAAAGAGTCTCTTAGCAACAGTCGCGATCCTTGGCTAGCGAACGGACACACATCAATTCAACGAGATATGGGACCGAAGAAGCCGCTGGTAGGCTCGCCTGTGAAGAAGAAGTCCAAGGATCACTCCAAGAGCGTTGCGGTACCCAATGGAGATGGTCATGACAAGGATCAACGAGCCGGAGGAGGTGGTGGGGGTGCAGGAGGTGCTGGAAGTGGAGCAGGGGACGGGTCTCTTTCAGGTGCTGGACAGGACAACGACGAGATGGATGGATATCACGAGCCAGTGAGTTGCTGTATTAGCTGGACTGTCATTGCGAAGCGTATCTAACCTGAGGGCATATGTGACTATCAGGTAAAGAAAGTCGTGATCCCCGATAACCAACTGAAGCTGTCACCGCAAGAGCTGAATGAGGAATTCTCCCGGGTGCTAACAGCTAACGATCCGAACGTGCCCAACAATATCACCAAATACAATTACAAGGAGCGGACATACAAGGTGGACCCACCCGGACCAGGAGACCACCTTTACGTGCACTTATGCTGTGACGGTAGTATGATTCACAAGGAGTCGGAGGACGCCAAAACCCAAGCTGCTTTTGACCAAAAATACGCCGAGGAAGAGAAGGAAGCACGTGAGCTGAGTATCAGACAGGCGAAAGAGGAAGCAGAGGCGAAAGGAGAGAAGATTGACGAGGCTGCCTTGCAATTCGAGTCAGGAAAGAATCAGTTCAACTATAGTGAGCGCGCGGCGCAGACATACACCAATCCTTTGCGAAAACGCGCAGTTGAGACTGAGCCCCCGCCAGTTGTGAGCTTTATGGCGACAGTAACACAATGGGAGATTTACGACACGTTCATGGATGCCTACGAACAGCACCAGCGTGAACAGATCCAGCTGCAAAAGGTGGCACAAAAGAGGGATAAAGACGAAAAAGACGGTGCAGGTGCTGCTGCAGGCGGCGCTGAGTTATTGACAGCAGCACCGACGGCAGCAGCGGGAGGTGGTGGTGGAAGTGGTGGAGGCAAAGGAAAAGGCGATGATATGGTACACTCAGCAGCGATGGGGAAGACACTTCGCATCATCGAACGCATGGTGAACCAGAATGCTGACGATGAAATCTTCCACGACTTCAAGTATTGGGAGGACGCAAGCGACCAGTTCCGCGAAGGAGAAGGCTCACTGCTGCCGTTATGGCGTTTCTCAAGTGATCGAGCCAAGAAAAAACAAGTGACTGCCGTTTGCTGGAATCCTCGCTTCGGTGACCTTTTTGCTATTGGGTTCGGCTCGTACGATTTCCTCAAGCAGGGCAGTGGTGTAATATGCTGCTACTCACTCAAGAACGCTTCGCATCCCGAGTTCACATTTACCACAGAGTCCGGCGTTATGTGCCTGGATTTTCACCCTCAACACGCTGCGTTACTTGCTGTGGGGTGCTATGATGGTACCGTACTCGTGTATGACGTGCGCAGCAAGACAAACCGCCCTATTTATGTGGCTACGATCAAGACGGGTAAACATACAGATCCAGTTTGGCAAGTGAATTGGCAGGAAGAAGACCTCGCGAAGGAGCTGAACTTCTACTCGATCTCATCGGACGGTCGGGTAGCTAATTGGATATTGAGCAAAAATGAGCTCAAGATGGAGCCCGTTATGCAGCTCAAGCTGGTTGCAGCGGCCAAGGATGACCCAGAAGAGGCGTCATTGTCTGGACTTGCTGGTGGGTGTTGCTTCGACTTCAATCGCTTCAGTGAACACCTCTTTATCGTCGGTACAGAGGAAGGCAAGCTTCACAAGTGCTCGAAAGCGTATTCTGGACAGTATCTCGAGACGTATGCAGGTCACCACATGGCTGTGTATGCGGTGCGCTGGAATCCCTTCCATGAGCGAGCGTTCCTGTCTTGTAGCGCCGACTGGACCGTGAAGCTTTGGGATCATAATTTACCTGATCCTATCATGTCTTTTGACTTGGGAAATGCTGTTGGTGACGTGGCGTGGGCTCCGTACTCTTCAACTGTGTTCGCTGCAGTAACCAGCGACGGAAAAGTGCATGTATTCGACCTGGCGGAGAACAAGAATGAGCCTTTGTGTGAGCAGAAAGTTGTAAAGCGTGCCAAGCTCACTCATTTGGCCTTCAACTCTCAAGATCCCATTGTGCTAGTAGGAGACGACCGCGGCGGTGTGAACTCATTGAAGTTGTCGCCCAATTTGCGCAAAATTGTTGGCTCCGGAGAAGAGGACGGCGGACCTGCAACTAATGGGACCCCCGCAGGTGGAGATGCAAGCATTAGTACGATCGCCGAGTTGAGAAACGTCAAGGCACGGTTCAAGAAGGAGTTTGAGAAGATTGACAAGCTGCTAAGTGCAAACGATAACAAGGTAGACCGGTAAGGGGAAGTGTGTCCTAGCAATGCAAACGTAGTCTGCTAATTTGGTTGCTCTTCGCGTAATCAACGCAACGTCTGCTTCTCATAACACTCGTCTCGTTGGACAGTGACGTAGATTATCCCTCCTCAGCAATTTCAACACTAAGCCTTCACAACTGCGCTATTCGCCTTTTTCATTTTTTTTGTGAGCTCTATAAACCGTTCGAAGCATAGAGCTACTACTCTGCTTTTAACTCCGTTGTAGTTGTTTGCTTGACTTCCAGCTTGCTTGGCGTGGACTTAGTGTGGTGCTTGAATCGCATGTAAGCGTGGTCGTCTCCGGTGCGGTCACGAACACAGCGATCTAGTCGCGGGACATGTAGATTCAGCACATCATCCAAAAACGTTTTGTGCGAGCTGTCAACAGTGGGGAACTCCTCGAGCGCCGTTGAAGACAATGCGAGCTCCAGGCCAGGCTGTACGGCATTCCACTGCGCCATGATTTCGTCGTGGGTACGGTCAGATTTGCACAGGAATGGGCCATACACCCGTTGGAAGGTAAGCGGCAACCACTGCAACACGCTTTCCCGCTTGAATTCCAGATTCAGCACTGACGCCTTCCACAGCGCAAGGTTCGAAGCGCACGATGACAGAACGATCTTGAAGAATGTACTGAGCTTGAACAGCGAGTGCGAGCGCGCCACTTGCTTGGACCAGTTCTTCTCCCACGTATTACTAGCATCAGAGGTCTTAACGGAGGATGATGCGGATGAAGGCGCTGCGGTAGCCGACAGTGTTAAATCCTCGGCTGTTAACGGTTCCGTTGGGGCTCTTGAGCCCACAGTGCGGATCAAATAGAACGCTGTAAAGCCAACGCCAGCTACAATACCCGCAATCTGCGCTCGCTTCCAGAACGTGCGTAGGTCCAGATACTCCTTTTTGCAGGCTTCAACCAGCGTCATGTGCATCTTGAGCCTCAACGCCGTGGCTTTCAGCAAATTCAGAATATTGTCCGTAGCACGATCAGGTGCCCGCTCCACTTCACGAATCACTTCTCCTCGGATCCCATCGAACTCATGCTCCAGCATCTTGGGCACATTAAACTGCGACTGACCATTCTCCTGAGCTGACGAAGCTTCCTGCTTCTCCTGTGGGACGTACATGGTGTAAATAAACGGCAAATCTTTGCGTCCGATGACCTTGCTCAAGTTCCAGCACAATGCTCCATAGGCGCGCGCGAAGTCGTGGACCGTCTGGAAGTCGTCCACCTTGTTTAGAATCAACAAAACCTTGCTGCTCATGCCTTGTAGCGAATTGGTGAGCACATCTAGCGTTTCGAACGTAGTGCCAGGCTTGTCCGGGTCAAACATGACGAGAATCACGTCCGCGCGGTCCGCGAACCATTGCACGACCCGCTTAAAGTCATAACCACGGTCTTCGTCCGTGCGGTCCAGTGAATTGCCCGGCGGATCGATCATGCCGGGCGAGTCTACGATCATAAGTCCACCCTCGTCGAGTAACTGGCTGCCAGCAACTACCTTGAGCTCTACCTGGGACACGAACTCGCGGCCGAAGAGCCGCTGCACGTCGCCGAAGCCGAACTGCGCATGCCGCACGAGCGCTGCGCCGTCAAGTCGCTCATCTCTAGCCCCACCTACTAGTACCGTGAAGGTGCAGTCTGTAGGCGCGCGTCCAGTCTTCTGTACGCTCTGACCCAGCATGTGATTGATGAAAGTACTCTTTCCTGAGGAATGATTGCCCAAAACCAATACCATGGGCACATTCACTGGCACAAAGGATGGGAAACGCATCTGCGAGCGCAGCGTCTCCAGACGGGAGTACAGCGCCCCCACCTCGCTCTGGATCATGCGGTTCACCTCTCCAGCGACGCGCACCTCACGCGCTCCATCGCCACTTGAGCCTCCCATCTGTAGTCGATCAATGTTTTGATCAAGAAAGAGGACATTCAAAGTGTACCATTTTCAAAGGTACCATTTTCACGGTACACTTTATCAGCACCGGTTGCCAACCAATAGAACCGACACCAGTAGCCAAGAGCTCCATAGGTTGCAGTCACTTGCGCGCGCGTGAGTGCATTGACCTGTCACGATGAAGCGCCGCGTTGCAATTAAGCGCGGAACAGCAGCCCAGCCGCAGCGCAAGAAGCGCGCACTGGGCGACGATGCCTTCGACTGGGGCAAGGGCGACTCGAACGATGTGATCGCGTCGGACAGCGAGGCCAGTGCACAGGCCAGCGATGGCAGCGAGGACGAGAGCGAGGAGGAGCAGAAGGAGACAGCGCAAGAAAAGCGTTTGCGACTAGCTAAGGAATACCTGGGTAAAATCACGGCGCAGGAGGCTGGTGGTACCGACGATGAGAGTGACGAGGGCGACGGCGTGGAGGAGCGTGTGGGTGCGCGGCTGCAACAGGACGCACTGGAGGCGATGGGCAAGCTCTTTAAGAAGGTGGCTGCCGACTACACCGAGTTTGAGTTCGATGCTGACTCCACCAAGTTCCTCAAAGGCCACCGTCTGCCTGTAACCAGCCTGTGTCTGCTGGAGGACGGCAAGACAGCTTTCTCGGCCGCTAAGGACGGATCGCTGCTGCGTTGGGACCTGGCGCAGCAGAAGAAAACTAAGCTCACGTTACCCAATGACGACGTTGCAGCCGAGAAGGCCACGACGGACAAGGATCGCTGCATTTTGGCGCTGGCAGCCAGCTCGGACGGTAAGTTTCTTGCTAGCGGCGGCCGCGACAAGCTCGTGCGTGTGTGGGATGTGGAGAAAGGTGAACTGCAGGAGAGCTTCGCAGGACACCGCGACGCTGTGTCGGCTCTGGCCTTCCGTCTGAGATCGCACTCGCTGTTCTCGGGATCATTCGACCGTTCCATTAAACACTGGAACCTCACGGAGATGGGATACGTCGAGACGCTGTTCGGCCACCAGAGCGAGGTGAACGGACTCGACAGTCTGTACAAGGAGCGCGTGGTTAGTTGTGGACGCGATCGTAGTGTTCGTATGTGGAAGATCCCGGAAGAAACGCAGCTGGTGTTCTATGGTAACTCGGGCTCCATGGACTGCGTCAAGATGGTCACGGACGAGTACTACGTCACGGGTGGAGATGACGGCTCTCTCTCGCTTTGGTTTAATGGTCGTAAGAAGCCTGTGTGCGTCATTCCGAACGCCCACGACGGCAAATGGATCAGCAGTGTGGCTGTCATGCCACGAACGGACCTCATTGCATCCGGATCAAGCGATGGTCAGATTCGGTTGTGGCAAGCTGACCTGCAGGGACGCACACTGACCCCCGTTGCTTCGATCCCGTTGGAGGGCTTCGTGAATGCGCTGAGCTTTGACGCGAAGGCTCGATTTCTGCTTGCTGGTGTGGGTCAGGAACACCGTCTTGGCCGATGGGAAAAGCTGAAGGTCAAGAACGGCATTGCGATCATTGCTCTGCCCAGCATAGATGGTGAGCAGGCAGAGGGCGAGGACGACGAGGGAGAGGAGACGGGGAGCGACGAGCCTTAGAGGCATCAATCTTTTCTTCATAATAGCATGTTCCTGCCTTAGCAGCATACAGAACTTCCACACAACCACCGTGCGCAGGTACATTGCGAGTATGTGGCTAATGTGTCGTCGTTTCATTGATAGCAGGGTACGTATGAAGAAGCTAAGCTACTAGTAACATCCTAACCAAAGCGAATCGAAGACACGCCACCGGGAGGGGCGTGGATCCTTGTGATGCGACGGTCGGTCAGCACGTTGCCTGAGTTCTGGTTGGCACCGCAAGCGTATTGGTTCGAGGAAGCTCCTGCACGTGCTGCGGGCTGAGATTGCTGGGCTGCAGGTTGGTTGATAGTGCTGCGAGTGTCCTTCGCGTACGGGTTGGACAGCTCAGGGCTCTCTACCTTACGGCGATTCGACTGGCGCTCGTGACCAGCGAACGGACTTGAGCCATCACCACCGCCGTAGATCAAAGACCCCACTGACGAACCTCCACCTGGTGGCGCATGCAGACGAGTGCTGGGCTTGTCCCGCAGGAAGTTGTCGACGTTCTGTGTAACCTGGTAGCCTGAGCGAGCCATGATATCGAAGCGACTGAGAATGGACAGGACTGGCAAGTTGAGGAGTGAGCTATTGACTACAATGCTCTTAGCAGTCTTGTAGAAATAGAACTGCGATCAGGAGGTCCAACAAGCCTGAAATAGCGTGCCGGATTCCTAGCTGGTCGATCCGCTGGAGGAATCCTTGTAACATGGCACGAGAATAGCTCGCACTCTCGAGACAAATATAAAAAAGCAAACCGTCTGAATTGACCTGCACGACGAACTATAAACGCGCTGGATAGCCTAGCAGAAGCGGTCCGCACAAAGAGCATGCGCACCTACTTCATCATACTCACGCTTGGAGACCCACAACTGCTGGAAGGAGCCTAATGATGCCAGAATGGAACCGCCGATGAAGACGCTGAATTGTCGCTCGATCTTCGTGACAGTAGTGAAGCGTACCTTGAACGTGCTGGGTACCATATGGGTAAGTTCCGAGTGCAGACGCTCGGTGATGCCAGGAGTGAGACTTCCTCCTCCACATAGGATAATATTGGTCAGCATATCTCTTCGCAGGTCAGCGTCACAGAGTTGCACCGCATCGTACAGCATGGTATGCAAACCCTTTGCTACAACCTTTGCCGCCGCCGCAGCGTGCTGTTCGTTCTTGACCACCGCACCACCAAAGTTCTTCGGGTGCAGCAAAAACTCGGGAACTTCATAACGCTCTTTTCCCAGTACAACGGTCTGTCCGTCCGGCAGTTCATATTGTTGCTCTGCAATCTCCAACGGCTCGGATTCCGGCGACGAAGCTTGTCCAGACGAGTCTCTGTGCTCCTCCTCGAGTGGTGTTTCCGACATAATACACGTAGTCTCCCGCATATCTCTAAACAAATCTGCTCTTGAGAATCTGAGATAGCTGCTCGGCATCGCCGGTGCAGTCGTGCGTTCGTCGGACAATGGGACGGTCTCCAGTACTCCCGTCTTCGGGTTCAGCTTCCTGGTAAAAGTCCCTCGCGGTCTAACTGTGAATGGTTCTGGTTTCTGCGTGGCTACTAAGTGCTCCAAATACTCTGACAACTGATTGCATCCAACTGGCGAATACTGCGCTGGTCGTTCCAGTGCGTATCCGTCGTATACAGGCACGACGCGAGAAGCCCCAGCGCCAATTTCTGCCACTAAAGCCAGGGATCGCCCGAAGGCGAAGGCATCCAGAACTGCGTCCTTTGCCATATAGAAGGCTGGGACCTGGAAGGTCTCGAACATCATCTCCAGGTACTTCTCGCCGTCTCGTGATGCCGCGTTGTGCAGAGCGTCATTGGCGAAACACGAGGCCGCTGAAGTGATAACTGGATGGCTCTTGGCGTCCACGTGGAGGAGATCAAATGCATAACTCCAAACTTTCTCCAGTGCGTCCCAGTTGGCCACAGCACAAGCCTCAATAGGCCGCACAACCTCTAGATCATGTCGGTGCCACAGGTCTCCTAGCACGGCGGAGGCTTCAGACGCGTCCTTGGCGTCCTTGGGGAGCGGCGGACGGCGACCGATCACGCTGGGAAGCACCAGCTGTGGCGTATCTTCCCCTGCCAGACCGAACTTGCTCAGCCCTGTGCCGACGTCCCCCACAACAGCTTCCACATCGTCACCGCAGTACATGGCGTCGAGGAGGTAATAACCAAGTCGCAGATCATTGGCCAAAACTGATTTTTGAAGCAACACCACATCAAGAGCAGTATCGTAGATAGCAGAAATATCACTCAACTTAGTTCATGTATTACTATGTTCATATGCGATATTAAAAGTTAGTTATTTTTGTAATTGATTTTTTGAGAATTGGATATAAAAGGATATAGGGTTTCAGATGTTTTAATTTGAGAAAGATAGTACGATTCCGTTTCTCCCAAGGATCAGCCCCCTCATACTGGATCGTGCCTTCACGAGCGGCGAACAAGACACCTACACTAACGATGGCGGAGGAGAGCAAGCTTGACTTTGCATGGCTCCCCCAGGGAACGGAAGCGCTAGCTGATGGCGAATACGATGTGATCGTACTGGGCACGGGCCTCAAGGAATGCATCCTTAGTGGATTGCTGGCTGTGAACGGGAAGAAGGTGCTGGTGGTGGATCGCAACCCGTACTATGGCGGCGAGTGTGCATCCCCCAACCTCACGAACCTCTACAAGAAGTTCAAGCCTGACCAGGAGCCGCGCACCGACCTGGGCGCTGACCGCGACTACAACGTGGACCTTGTGCCCAAGTTCATCATGGCCTGTGGTAAGCTCGTCAAGATGCTGCTGCACACCAAGGTAACCCGCTACCTCGAGTTCAAGAACGTGGACGGCAGCTACGTCGTCAAGGGCGGACGTACCTACAAGGTGCCTGCGACGGGTGAGGAAGCACTGCGCTCGTCACTCATGGGAATGTTCGAGAAGCGCAAGTTCCGCAAGCTCATCATGTACATTTACAACTACGAGGAGGACGATCCCAAGACGTACGAGGGCATGGATCTGTTTAAGCAGCCCATGAGCGAGCTCTTCGAGAAGTACGGTGTGGATGCCAACACGCAGAGCTTCATGGGCCATGCTATGGCTCTCATGCGCGACGAGTCGTACCACAACCGTCCCGCCATTGAGACGGTGCGTGCCATCAAGTTGTACGCGTACTCGCTGGAGCGTTACGGGAAGTCTCCGTACATCTACCCTCTGTACGGTCTCGGTGGTTTGCCCGAAAGCTTCTCGCGTCTCTGTGCCATTAACGGCGGCACGTTCATGCTCAACCGAGGAGTGGACGAGATCCTGACCGACAAGGACGGCAAGGCCTGGGGTATCAAGTGTGACAACGAAGTAGCCAAGGCCAAACTGGTGATCGGTGATCCGTCCTACTTCCCGGAGCAGAAGGTGCGCAAGACTGGCGTGGCTGTGCGCTCCATCTTCATCCTGAACCACCCGGTTCCCAACACGAACGACGCCGAGTCGCTGCAGATCATTATCCCCGCCGCCCAGGCCAACCGTAACAACGACATCTACGTGGCTGTGGTGTCGTCTGCCCACTGCGTCGCACCGCAGGGCATCTACATCGCCATTGTGAGTACACTTGCTGAGACGTCGGTGCCTCTGCAGGAGCTGGAGCCTGGTGTTAAGCTGCTGGGCCCGTACATGGAGCGCTTCGACGCCATCACGGACATGTTTGAGCCTGTGTCGGACGGCAAGGAGGACAACTGCTTCATCAGTTCTTCGTACGACCCGACGAGCCACTTCGAGACCACGTCGGAGGACGTGCTGGACCTGTACAAGCGCATCACAGGCGAGGATCTCGACATGAACATTAATGCCGACACGACCGATGTGGACCAGTAAGGAAGGAGCCGAGCAGCACAATAAGCAGAGTGAATGAGCAGGAGGTTGGAAGCGAGAGCTGTGTAACTTGCAGGCAGTAGGAGTCAACAATCGATCGATCAGTGAAGCAACCAAGCTGCTTGAGAAGGTCTTATTTTTACAGAGCTAGCTACACAAAGTTTACCAGTGCAAACTCGTGGTACTTGATCGCTATCTTGTATCGGATTCTTGTGTCGAAGCAGTTGTTGCTCCTCCACACCGTGTGACCACGGCAACAACGAGACAAGTCGGTTCCTAGTCGAGCAGGAATAGAAGCCAAGGAAGCTCCGATAAGACGAGTCTGCAGCAAGCGCCGTCACGTTGACACCTGCCGTGACCACAGCAGCCATGAAACAGTGTCGATTAGTGGCCGTCCGGAGCAGAAGCCACGGAAGCGCCCGATGTCACGGCAAAATGCGTCGGGTCTGCAGCCAAAATGACGGGCACGTCCAGTGTCATCACAAGCGCGCCGAGGTGGGGGCTGGAAAGAAATCAAGGTGCTGCCATAATCACGCGCCGCGATCGGAATTTAACAACGGTTTCATCCGCTTCGGATGGGGAACGTCAATCTGGACGTGTACATGGGGCTCCCCGTCCGATGGATGATTGACAGTAGACAAAAATCATCACAAGCTTTATAGATGACCTTCACGTCAACAAGATCAACCGCCTTAACAAATATATTGCCTTGATCGAATGCACAGATATCAGTACGCTGTTGGCGCCCAGTACACACGGCGGAATGACTTTAAGCCTCGGTGGTCCCCAACATACGAACGGCTAACCTCTAAGGTTTGCAGCACCGTGTTTTCTTTTCTTTTTTTTTTTTGGTCTTTTTTATTAAAGCGCTCCTGCATGGGGGTTCACATTACGACATCGGTGGATTTATTATACCACCACTGAAGACCAGGGGTT